AGAGAGAGAGAAGCAGAGGGAGAGAGAAAGAGAGAGGGAGAGAGAAAGGAAAGACGTAAAGAAAATGAAATCGAGGGGAGAGCGGAAAATAAAAACGAAGGAGGAAATATCACGGTGAGAGGAGAACGAAACGCATGGAATGGGGAAAAACACATAAGGTGTAATGGAAAACACAAGAAAAAAACAAAACAAAACAAGACCAGAAGGGTAATACAGAAACATGTGGAGAAGAAACCCGGTGGATAATAGCAAAGGTAAAACCAAACGGAAAGAGGGGGAGGGGAGGGGAGAAAACACCACAGGAAACGGCGATAATAACAAACGGAAAAGAAAAGATTACAAACATCGCGCGAAATAACAATAAAAAAAAAACGAAATGGAAAAAAAGGACGTAACATGAATCCCCTCCGCCAGCGACAGAAGGAGAACAAAGATGGCGGACGGCGAGGCGAAAGAACATGGGCTCTTAGAAAAATGAAAATAAAAAACAAAAACAAAAACAAAAAAAAAAAAAACGGGCGATGGTTTCTAACAATAAAAGCTAAGAGAAAATTTAAAGAAACTGACAAGAGACTGAGCGGCGTAAAGCAAAGGGATAACCGGCGGGAGAAACAGGAACAGAAACATTAGGAGAAAGGATGAAGTAATTTCCCTTGATGGTCAGGTATGTATCCTCTTCTTGTTGCCAAAAGCTATGCTACCAAAAGGGAAACTGAGAGAGAGCGAGGGAGAGGGAGGGAGAGAAGGGGAGGGAGGGAGGGAGGAGGGAGGGAAAGAGAGGGGGAGAGCAGGAGGGAGGGAGGGAGGGAGGGAAGGAGACAGGGAGGGAGGAAGAGAGAGGGGGGAGGGAGAGGGGAGAGAGAGAAGAAGAAGAGAGAGAGAGAGAGGAGAGAGAGGAGAGAGAGAGAGAGAGAGAGAGAGAGAGAGAGAGAGAGAGAGAGAGAGAGAGAGGGGGGGGGGGAGAGAGATCCATGAATAAAGAAGACCGAAGCCACAAAGCAGAAATAAATAAAATTAGAGACCTAGTATAAGGATGAAAAAAAACAACAAAAACAGATAGCAAGAAAGGGAAAGAAAGCGACTGAATTGGAGAAGAGAGAATACAAAGCTAAGAAAACAGAAAGACAAACGAAGAATAAAAAAAATAAAAGCGACAGGAAAAATAAACTAGAAAGATGGGTAGCGATACAAAGGATAAAAATGGCAATGCCACACTCTGCCAAGTTCGCATTTCCACAGGGGCTGCGTGTGACATGTACCCTCTCATTACTACGGAGGTGCTTACGTTTCCCTTCCGTCTCTCGCTTTGTATTTATCTAACTGTCCAGTCCCCGGGAATGGAAGGGAAAGAGGGAAAGGGAGAAGGAAAGGGAATTGGAAAGGGTAAGAGGGAGAGGGAGAGAAAGAGAGAGAGAGAGGGGGAGAGAGGGAAAGAGAAAGAGGGAGAGGGAGAGGGAGAGAGAGAGAAGAGAGGGGGAGAGGGGAGAGGGAGAGGGGGGAGAGGGGAGAGGGAGGGAGAGGGAGGGAGGGAGGGAGGGAGGGAGGGAGAGGGAGAGGAGAGGAGAGAGAGAGAGGAGAAGAGAGGAGAGAGAGAGAGAGAGAGAGAGAGAGAGAGAGAGAGAGAGAGAGAGAGAGAGAGAGAGAGAGAGAGAGAGAGAGAGAGAGAGAGAGAGAGAGAGAGCGCAAAACAGAAAAGGTGTTGGTGGGCGCACCACACCGGGCGCCAATTACCCGCCTTGTCACTGTATCGCCGACAGCAGAGACACACGGTGAGGCAGACAGTTCCCAGCCCTAATAAGTTCACGTATGTCATAATAATATCCGCAACCGCAATATTATGGCAAATTATCCCAAAATGTAGAGTAGGAGCACATTATTGAAATATACGCGCGGCGGTGACATGTAGTTAGAGCGAGGGCGCCACCGCACTCGCGGCCAGAGGAGCGGCGGACTCCCCTAATCGCACTACTCGGCGGGAACCATGTTTAGGAATGCAGGAGCTGCCGAAATCGAAGAAATTGAGAAAGAAGAAAAGCGTTCCCAAGAAAAATCGAAAAACAAGAAAAAAAAACCCACTCGGGGAGAAGGCCGCATCGGGTGTGCTGCCACAAGCCCTAGTAGATTCCCATTCACAGAAGGGAACCACTGTGCCAGGGCATGCACGCAGACTTAGCTCAGAATACTTACCCATACTGTTGGTGTATGTGATGTTGTGACTCATGGGGTCTGACATAGGCGGCGGTAACGTGGCGTTGTTGAGGAGGACGCCCCTGGGCACGGGCGCCGCGGGCGTGGCGGTGGAGGCGTCGTGGGGAGGATAGAGGGCGTGCGGGTGGTGGAGAGGGGGTCCATGCCCATGAGCGTGGGTGGGCGAGGCACTGTGGGCGGCCATGGGCGTGTGCGGCGCCTGGGTGTGGTGGGGGTTGGGCAGCCCTAGGTACTGCACCACCTCCTGCCACCGCTCCATTTCCCCGCTCCGGACCAGGCTGCCCAGCCGACCCTGCGGAAGAGAGAGCTCGCGTTAGCTTTGGACACTTCGGAAGGAAATAATTAGAGCTAAACTTACAGCTGGAGGATCATATTTGCAACTAGGACACTTTAATGACGACCTTCGACCAAAAAAAAAAAAAAAAAAAAAAAAAAAAAAAAAAACTGGGGTCACACACCCAACAAATGAAAATATACACAAAGGTAGCGCATAATAAAACAAGAGATAATAAACCGTAATTAAGCGCAGGCAGAATGAAAGTTCGATTGCTTCGTTCCACTGAAACAAAAGGATTAAAATGACCCCCTGATACTCACTCGAATCTGCCATTATTGGATCGCAGTGAAAGTGAATATCGATAAAATTTAAGTTCAATACATGCGGGCTCCTTCCACGCGGAAAATGGAATGACGTAACAAGTCCGCGCCGGGAGGATGCCGAGCAGTGGCGGCCGACGATCCTCCCGCCGCTGCCGTCTGCACGTCTGCTTGTTTGTCTGTCTGCTTGTCTATCTGTTTGTTTGTCTGTCTGTTTGTTTGTCTGTCTATCTGTTTGTTTGTCTGTCTGTTTGTCTGTCAATCTGTTTGTTTGTCTGTCTGCTTGTTTGTCTGTCTGCTTGTCTATCTGTTTGTTTGTCTGTCTATCTGTTTGTTTGTCTGTCTGTTTGTCTGTCTATCTGTTTGTTTGTCTGCCTGCTTGTCTGTCTATCTGTTTGTTTGTCTGTCTGCTTGTCTGTCTATCTGTTTGTTTGTCTGTCTGCATGTCTGTCTATCTGTTTGTTTGTCTGCCTGCTTGTCTGTCTATCTGTTTGTTTGTCTGTCTGCTTGTCTGTCAATCTGTTTGTTTGTCTGCCTGCTTGTCTGTCTATCTGTTTGTCTGTCAATCTGTTTGTTTGTCTGTCTGCTTGTCTGTCTATCTGTTTGTTTGTCTGTCTATCTGTTTGTTTGTATGTCTGCTTGTCTGTCAATCTGTTTGTTTGTCTGTCTGCTTGTCTGTCAATCTGTTTGTTTGTCTGTCTGCTTGTCTGTCAATCTGTTTGTTTGTCTGTCTGCTTGTCTGTCTATCTGTTTGTTTGTCTGTCTGCTTGTCTGTCTATGTTTGTTTGTCTGTCTGCTTGTCTGTCTATCTGTTTGTTTGTCTGCCTGCTTGTCTGTCTATCTGTTTGTTTGTCTGTCTGCTTGTCTGTCAATCTGTTTGTTTGTCTGTCTGCTTGTCTGTCTATCTGTTTGTTTGTCTGTCTGCTTGTCTGTCTATCTGTTTGTTTGTCTGCCTGCTTGTCTGTCTATCTGTTTGTTTGTCTGTCTGCTTGTCTGTCAATCTGTTTGTTTGTCTGTCTATCTGTCTGTTTGTCTGTCTGCTTGTCTGTCTATCTGTTTGTTTGTCTGTCTATCTGTTTGTTTGTCTATCTGCTTGTCTGTCAATCTGTTTGTTTGTCTGTCTGCTTGTCTGTCTATCTGTTTGTTTGTCTGTCTATCTGTTTGTTTGTCTGTCTGTCTGCCTGTCTATCTGTTTGTTTGTTTGTCTGTCTGTCTGCCTGTCTATCTGGTTGTCTGTCTGTCTACAACAATAATAGGTAATGATGGTGATATTTATAATAATAATAATAATGATAATAATAATAATAGTGATAGTAATAGTAGTAGTAGTAACACTAATAACAATGAAGGTAATAATATTAGTAATAATAATAATAACAATAACAATAACGAAACAAATCAACAATAATGCCAACAATGCTTATTGTTATTATTATTATTATTACAATCAGTCTAAACAAAAAATTGAAGTATCACCAACAAGGCAAAAAATATACATTGTATTAAAGCATTACTAATCAACATCAAGTCCCCAATTATTTTACAGAATTTACTTGAATATCACTCAAACATTTTATTTCATATTGAGCGGGGTCCTTAACCATGAAGATAGGTGACCGTAAAGGTAACGACAAAATTAATTGTCACAATGGCAGCAACAATAACAACAGCAAAACAACAAAGATAACAACTCCAGAAATGCTAAACACTCCATTTATCCAAGAGGATGTTCTCCTCGAATTAAACGGTGGTAAGCAATGTTAAATACATATCCTAACCAACAGACGAAGCTAAATACACATACGCGGAGCCTGTGTAACATACATACATTTCTGCAGTCCCCGTGAGCCTACACAGCGCAACGATCTGCTTCCTCCTTTCCACTTCCTCTACGGCGCAAGCAGCCCCGCCCCTTCCCCACCCCGGGTCTCGCCAGCCGAAGGAAGACGAAGGCGCAGGCGGCAGGATCCCGAGGGCGCGGCCAACTCTTGTATCACATCCCAACGCTGGCGATCTCCTGCCTGCTCCTCCCTCCCACCTTTAATTTATTTTACGCTCTCTTCCCTCTCGTCATTTTGGTCTATCTGTCCAACTTTTCATTTATTTCCCATTCTCTTCTTTCCCAAGCGTCATTTAAGCCCGCGAAGCCCCCCGTCCCCGCCCTCTGCCTCCCTGCCTCTACCCGTGGGCGAGCGCGGTGGAGCGTGGGCGTGAGTCAATTAATAAGGCGTCTGCGGTGAGCGTCGTGGTCACGTCGCGACACGCTCGACCACGCCCCACAGACCCTGACAAATGTCTAATTTCGGCCGAGGTGACAGAAACTCGCGGACCAATTTGTGTTGCGGTGGCCCCGTCCCCTCCCCGCCCCCTCCCCCTCCCATCGGCTCCTCTTCCCTCCCCTACAAGGTGCCAAGTCCGGGTCCTGCGCGGGAGGACGAGCTCCCGAGTCGTCCTTCAGCTCGCCTCTCCCGCTGCGGTAAGCGGGAACGAAGCGCAAGAGATAGCTCGGGGCGCCGTGGCCTCGGCGAAGAGGATCTGCGCGCCGTTAAAACGAAAACCGCATCGTACAATTGACGTAAACCGCACCATTAAACCATTAGAGAGAACGGCTGGGCCCTTTCGCACGCATACGCACACTTGGGTGCGCAGACATGCACACGCGAACGCACACACAAACCCATGCGAACATGAACGCCATTCGCAAGCAAGCTTTGCTCTCGTCCCTGACAAAAAAAAATGCTAAGTCTAATATTACATTATATACAAAAGACTGGAAAAAAACATAAAATAACATAAAACATGAGAAGAGGGGGGGGGGGCGAAAGACAAGAAGCTTAGCTTCAAAGCGAATCACAAAATGACCCTCAGCTCGCACTCCCGTCATTACCTGTAACACGAACCGACCCCCCCCCCCCCCCGCAGCTAACGTCCCCTCCACACAGTATGCTTGCCTTATAGCGCCTCACACTCACGCCAATCGCTTCGTGGCATCTCGCGGCTCTCGTGCGCCCTCCCTAGTCGCGCAGGTCGTCCGGCTCCTGCCAGGGCTTCTAACGAACACCTGCTTCCTGCACCTGCCCACTTGAGCTGTATCGTGCCTGCGACCCAAACTCTGGACGCCGTATACCCGTGCTGAACCCGTAGAGCTCGTTTCTGCAGCGGCAACAACACTTTCAATCTTCCGTTCACATATTTATAGTTGTTCGCACGCCATCTCCGCGCTCCCGGAGGTTGCGTGTTGGGCGGCGACGCAGCTCCCACGACTGTAACAGATATCAGGATGACATTCTCTCATCGGAAGTTACGTCACTTATGCTGATGTATCTAAAGCCTTCTATTCGTCTTTATGTCTGCTAATAACTACTGCATACCTTACTCTTAATTCCTTAGAGTCTGTCTGTCTGTCTGTCTGTCTCCTTCCCTACTCCTCCCCCTCCACGATTCCCCATAAAAATCAATCAAAAATTCGATCATGAAAACGCGCGGCATAACATAAATATCTATGCACGCGTCACTCGTGGCCTCCTTGGCGCCGGAGGAGGTAGCGCGCTGCGTCTTCCTTCGCTCGGAAATCCCTCGCATCCGCATCGCCTTGCCCTCCGCCTGCCAGCATCAGTCGGTTCCTATTCCGCGCTTCGTCTCTCATCATTATCATAATAAGAGGGAAGAGACGCGGCCGGAGAGCAGGCGCAGAGTAGAGGCCGCCGCGGGCCGGAGAATTCAATGCGGCAGTAGCGAGTCATCCGGGATAATTTATGGCAGGTCCGCTCCCCGCCCATGGTATATATATCTCGGCCCTCTAAACCTACAGCCGTCTCCTCCCCCTGACACTACTGGAATTCAACCGATATTTCAGTGTCATCAAATATTCCTCAGGTGTTGGGCCGCTTCGCCATCGCTCTTCTGTTTGGTGCTGTCGCCAAAGAATTTTTCACTTCCTTACTCTCATTTTTTATTATTATTCCTATTTTCTTCAACGATCTGATATAAAGTAGAATGCAAATTCCTGCAAACGGGTTTAGCTCTCTCAGACAACTTTCACGTCTTTCCGAAGAAATATGACTTTGTCGGGGATATTTTAGATTGCTTACAAACGGTTTTCATAATTATAATTATATTTTTTTCATTGTAATTATAATGGCAATACTACTAACAAAATGATACTATCAATGTAGCAGTAATAAGCACATCACTCCGACTCCTAATCCTCCATCTATATATTCACCATGTGCACCTTCAGCCTTCTTCAGATTCACTCTCAACAGCGAGCCGGTCTGACGTGACTGCACTCCATGCACGCGAGCCGCAGGTTTCGTCAGCTGCATCGCCTCGTCCCGCGGCGTCGGCAGCATCCGAGTTGCCCAAGGCGCGATTCGGGACGGAACGCGAGGGCGACTGTGTAACATGGGAACTCGCGCTCGCTCTTTCTTTGCCAACCTTCGCATTCTCTCACTCTTATCTCGCGTCTGCCACTCTGTGTTTGGCTCACTCTGTTATTCTGGGAACGTTTGTTTCCCCCTAAAAATGTGCCACTTTACCAGCGTCTGTTTCTCATGTTTGTCTATGTACCCTTATCCTATTCATTCCTCAATGCTTAGCCGATTTCTTATCTGTTCTGATTCCGTATATATCTTTAATGAACTCCCTATTATGCCTGTCTCCTAATTCCTCTGATTACTCAAGTCTATCCGTATC